AAGGTGAGGCAGCAAAGCCAGTGATGGTCAAGTAGGGAAGGGAAGGTGAGAAGATGAGCAGCAAGGGAGGAGAAGGGCAACAGTGAGGGAATGAGTGGCAAACCATACTCCAGAGTAGTTAGATGTGGGGAAAAGGGGACCCAAACCCATCTTGGGCACTTCTCTGTGATCCTTGTACCTTCTCTGCCTTTACATGAAGGCTGGAGCTTCTCTCCTGCTCCCTAAACCTGCCCAGTACTGCTCTAAGTGCTGTTGGTTCCTTCCCTTACTGAGACCCAGCTCCTTCTCCCTTGCTGGTCAGGAGGAGAGAGAGTTCCCCCTCCACTCTGCAGCCTTTTTTTGGAGACCCAGCCTGGTCCAGATTGGCTGACTGCACCTCACTTTGATAGACCAGTTTTGTGCAGATTTCCTCTGGCCTGTTTTTAACTCCCTTCCTGCTGGAGTGGGCTACAGCACTATCACACCGACAATCCAGAATGGAAAGGGAAAGGAGAACATATATACTGATATTAGAATCATAGAATACTAGGACTGGAAGGGACCTCGAGAGGTCACCGAGTCCAGTCCCCTGCCCTCATGGCAGGACCAAATACTGACTAGACCATCGCTGATAGAAATTTATCTAACCTACTCTTAAATATCTCCAGAGATGGAGATTCCACAACCTCCCTGGGCAATTTATACTACCCTGATAGATAGGAACTTTTTCCTAATGTCTAACCTAAACCTCCCTTGCTGCAGTTTAAGCCCATTGTTTCTTGTTCTATCCTCAGAGGCCAAGATGAACAAGTTTTCTCCCTCCTCCTTATGACACCCTTTTAGATGCCTGAAAACTGCTATCACGTCGCCCCTCAATGTTCTCTTCCAAACTAAACAAACCCAATTCTTTTACCCTTCCTTCATAGGTCATGTCCTCTAGACCTTTAATCATTCTTGTTGCTCTTCTCTGGACCTTCTCCAATTTCTCTACATCTTTCTTGAAATGTGGTGACCAGAACTGGACACTATATTTCAACTGAGGCCTAACCAGTGCAGAGTAGAGTGGAAGAATGACTTCTCGTGTCTTGCTCACAACACACCTGTTAATGCAACTCAGAATCATGTTTGCTTTTTTGCCACAGCATCACACTGCTGATTCATATTCAGCTTGTGGTCCACTATAACCCCTAGATCCCTTTCTGCCGTACTCCTTCCTAGATAGTCGCTTCCCATTCTGCATGTGTGAAACTGATTGTTCCTTCCTAAGTGGAGCACTTTGCATTTGTCTTTATTAAACTTCATCCTGTTTACCTCAGACCATTCTCCAATTTGTCCAGATCATTTTGAATTATGACCCTGTCCTCCAGAGCAGTCGCAACCCTTCCCAGCTTGGTATCATCTGCAAACTTAAGAGTACTTTCTATGCCAATATCTAAATCGTTGATGAAGATATTGAACAGAGCCGGTCCCAAAACAGACTCCTGCAGAACCCCACTTATTATACCTTTCCAGCAGGATTGTGAACCATTAATAACTACTCTCTGAATACGCTTATCCAGCCAGTTATGCACCCACCTTATAGTAGCTCCATCTAAGTTGTATTTGCCTAGTTTATTGATAAGAATATCATGCAAGACCGTATCAAACGCCTAGGTATACCACATCCACCACTTCTCCTTATCCACAAGACTCATTATCTTATCAAAGAAAGCTATCAGTTTGGTTTGACATGATTTGTTCTTTACAAATCCATACTGGCTGTTCCCTATCACCTTGCCACCTTCCAAGTGTTTACAGATGATTTCCTTAATTACTTGCTCCATTATGATCCCTGCCACAGAAGTTAAACTGACTGGTCTGTAGTTTCCTGGGTTGTTCTTATTTCCCTTTTTATAAATGGGCACTATATTTGCCCTTTTCCAGTCTTCCAGAATCTCTCCTGTCTCCCATGATTTTCCAAAGGTGATAGCTAGAGGCTCAGATACCTCCTCTATCAGCTCCTTGAGTATTCTAGGATGCTTTTCATCAGGTCCATGCATTTTCTAGGTGATTTCTAACTTGTTCTTTTTTTTATTTTATATTCTAAACGTATCCCCTTCCCACTAGCATTCACTATGTTAGTCATTCCTTCAGACTTCTCGGTGAAGACAGAAACAAAGAAGTCATTAAGCATCTCTGCCATTTCCAAGTTTCCTGTTACTGTTTCTCCCTCCTCACTGACCAGTGGGCCTATCCTGTCCTTGGTCTTCCTCTTGCTTCTAATATATTTATAAAAAGTCATCTTGTTCCCTTTATTCCGGTAGCTAGTTTGAGTTCATTTTGTACCTTTGCTTTTCTAATCTTGCCCCTGCATTCCTGTGTTGTTTGCCTATATTCATCCTTTGTAATTTGTCCTACTTTCCATTTTTTATGACAACTACTTTTTTATGTTTAGATCATGCAAGATGCAGGACTACAATTCAGTTTTTTTCCCCAAACTTTGCATCTTCAAACTAAGTTTACTAACGCATCACTAAACACTAGTACCACAGTTCCACTGTGGACAGAACTCCAGGATGAAACACTGTTGTGCTTTTTCCAGAAGGGTTTGAAGGGAAACTAAACAAATAGGCAAGGTGGAAAGAAAGGAGATGGGCAAGTATGAAGTAACAATGGTGTATATGTTCTAGGACTTGATTATGAAGAGGAAAGGGGCCTCCCTGCTTTGAGATAGTGTTAACCAAATCGCCTTTCATTAATTGACTATTTGTGAGACAACCATGCAGTAAAATCAATGAGCTAGATTCTCTTCTGGTGTAAACTGGTGTCGCTCCATTCAGATGCTGGTTTACACCTGTTGAAAATTTGGCTGCAGCTCTATTAATACAGTAGTAGCAGGAGAAAATAAATAATTCTTCCATCTGGATTGATGGCCTGTAGTAGACTCCTAGCATGACATCACCCTTGTTTTTAACCCCTTTTAGCCTAACCCAGAGACTCGACACTGCCATCGCCTATGTCTATCTCCACCTCACTCCAAATGTGTTCATTTTTAATATATAAGACAACACCTCCTCCATTTTTTCCCTGTTTTTCCTTCCTGAACAAGCTGTACCCTTCCATACAAACATTCTAATCGTGTGTATTTTCCCACCAAGTTTCTGTAATGCCAACAATGTCATAATTGTGCTTATTTATTAGCACTTTGAGTTCTTCCTGTTAATAACCCATACTTCTCGCATTTGTATATAGGCATCTAAGATACTTATTTGACCTTGCCTCCCAGTTTTGCCCTGACCCTCCTTTCTCTTTGCCATTATAGCCCATGCTCCCTCCCATTTCCAACCCATCTCCCAGGTCTCCATGTTCTCCACTTACCTGTGGGCTTTGCTCACCTGTCCCCGTCGAACCTAGTTTAAAGCCCTCCTCACTAGGTTAACCAGTCTTTGTCCAGATAGGGTCTTTCCCCTCCTCGAAAGGTGAACGCCATCTCTGCCCAGCAGTCCTTCCTGGAATAGCATCCCATGGTTGAGGAAGCCAAAGCCAAAGCCATCTTCATAGCCAGGCATTCACCCTCCAGGATGCACCTGTGTCTGCCAGGGCCCCTACCTTCGACAGGGAGGACTGAAGAGAATACCACCTGCGCTCCAAACTCCTTCACCCGTTCTCCCAGAGCCCTGTAGTCACTCTTGATCCACTCAGTGTCACACCTCGCAGTATCATTAGTGCCCACATGGATGAGTAGCATGGGGTAGTAGTCAGAGGGCCGGATAATCCTCGACAATGCCTCCGTGACATCTCGGATACGGGCCCCCAGCAGACAGCACCTCCCGAGATGAAATGTCAGGGCGACAGATGGGCACCTCCATCCCCCTCAGAAGAGAGTCTCCGACCACCACTACCCTACATTTCCTCCTCGCAGTGGTGGCAGCTCTGTCCCCCTCAGAAGAGAAACTCCAACCACCACTAGCCTACATTTCCTATTCACAGTGGTGGAAGAAGACCTCTCAGCATTGGGGGTACGAGGCTTTTCTGAACCAAATTTTCAGAGCTCAAGCTTTTTCTTCTTTTCTCTGAACTGGTTTTCACATTGGAACTTCAGAAATATAAAGGAACAACAAACAAGGAAGGGTTATCTTGAAGCACAGAACTACAGGTGATGATCAAACTGATTTGAACAAACTGAGGCTACATCTAGACTGCATGTTTCTTTTGGAAGAAACTTTTCCAGAAGAAAACTTCCAGAAAAACTTTTTTCAAAAGAGAGTGTCTACACAGCAAAAGTGCAGTGAGAAAGAGAAGTCTGGGGGGTACATCAATACAACTGAAATTTGGAGAAAACTGAATTTTGGTTTTAAGTTTTACAGCGCTTTCTTATTTTTGTACTTTTTACACCCCAAAATTTCATCTCCAGCCCAGCTACAATTAAGTCACCAAGATCTGGGTAGAGGTGTCTATGCTCAGGCGCTCTGTCTGGCTACAGATGCAGGTGGAGGAGACAGAAGCAGTGCTGGCACAGGTGTTACAGGTCTTCCTGACCATAGTAGGTCTCCCTCTGCCAAACTCCCTCTCAAACTCCCCTGTCTGCTTCCGCTCCTCAGTCGCTCTGCCTCTGGCTTTTAAAGCCTGCTTGCTTAGGCCAGGCCTGCCCCCTCATAAGTCACACAGGGGAAGGCTGACCAGATGCAATCAAGAGAGCAATGACCATAGTAGGTCTCCCTCTGCCAAACTCCCTCTCAAACTCCCCTGTCTGCTTCCGCTCCTCAGTCGCTCTGCCTCTGGCTTTTAAAGCCTGCTTGCTTAGGCCAGGCCTGCCCCCTCATAAGTCACACAGGGGAAGGCTGACCAGATGCAATCAAGAGAGCAATTAAAGGAACAAAAGGCCCGGCACTCAGTCCCAACTGCCACAGCAGCTGAAACTGAACCCTTAGAATTAAGGATTCTTTTCTGTAACTGCTCCATGGCTTTAAACAGACAGCAGAAGTGCAGTGCAGAGTCCCTGTGGAAGAAAATAGTCATATGCTCAGTAACTGCACGAGTCATTTTTTCCCTTTCATTTTTATTTATAAATTTTGAATTTCACGCAGCTGTGCAATAGCAATGGGACACACTAAGAACTGCCCTGCCAGTGAATTATTGCATCATTCAGGTGAATAAAGTCATTATGGGTATGGCCTTTTACCTTAATAGTAATCCTTAGTATTATATATTGTAATGTGAGAAGTACCTGGAGAGTACAATAAATGCCCTGAAAGGCACAGCCTTGTTGTGTCCTATTATAAATCAGCCAGCACCTTACATTTATGCAGCTCTTGGCCCACAGTAAGAAGCATCTTCTGTCCCCAAAGAGCTTACATTGGTTATGTACAATATAAAGGGTTGGAAAACCACATTTTTATCAAGGTCTTGGTGGTCTGTGCGTTTTGTAGTTTGTTATAAAAAAGCAGCTCTCTTAAAGCTGTTTGTGTGTTAAAAGGACCCTACAAATGTATATCTTCACCCATGTATTTCATATAGCACAATCATTTAATTGTCTGCCTTGCCCACTCTCAAACCGTGTTTTATTTTCTCCAAGACACAACACAATTAATTTTTTTACTGGCAGCTACCAAAGAATGGGTGTGATGTAACTGCAGGGCTCTTCACAGTGGTGCATTTCTCTGCAAAATGTGTGGTGTGTCTCTCCTCCTTAAAAGCGATTAGTCTGTTTTGGCTTGAGGACACACACACAGCAGTTGCTATGATTTTCTGCTTCACTCTTGGCTCTAGAGTTTGAATTCAAAGGAAACCAATTGGTTTTGCTGTCTGGCAAGAAGCAGATCACCTAAAAGGAATGTATATCATTTTGGATGAAGATAGCCATCTGAAAAGAAAAAAAACAAACAGGCTGCTCCCTCTAATGTTTGGCTGGCTTCCCTATTTATGCACATGCTCTCCAGACCAGGAATGGGCAAGATCCAGTCAATGGGATGGACCCAGTCTGCCAAGCTAATTTATCTGGCCCACAGCCCACCCTGCCCCACCACTGCCCCAAGGCCAATCAGGGCTTGGAGATGGGAGCAGGCAAAGTCTCCTCCCCACTGCCAGGGGTCCACAGCACCAGAGGGAACCTCCAGCGGTTCAAAACAGTTGGTGATTCTGTCTGTGAGCTGCACACCCTGGCACAGTAGTGGTGGGGGCTGAGAGATTTTTGCATGATCCCGTACTCCACAGGAAAGTCTCCTTCCCTCCCTACCACCAGAGGCACATGGTGCCTAGCGGGAACCACTCTTCTGCCCTAGGCCCACCCCATTTGACTGAGGCTCTGCCCTTTTCTGGGGGTGTGACTGGCTCGGGGCCATTACCAAAGTTGAAGTAGTCCACTTACAAAAATTATTGCCCCCCCTTGCTCTAGACCTTGGTTTCCCTTTTTTCTAAAGTCATCTTCATTATAACTTGCTTTAATTACAGCTCAAAAATACAGAAAGCTGAACTTGAAGCACAGACAGAGTTAACCTGTGCACTTGCATTTACAACACTTGAAACAACAGTTGACTACCAGTGGCTCCACTTATCCCAAAAACACAGCCTTTTCCATGGCGTCCTTCGCTTTCATGTACTCCAAGTGCGAGGGAAAGTTGGTACATTTGAAATGGTTGTTATTGCGGATGTACTTAATGAACTCTGGGGCCCCAGGACAGATGACATTGTCAGCTAGGAGAACAGAGCCCTTCCTCTGCATGCCACACACTGAGTGAATGTTCATTTTAGAAGGAGTAAACAATTGCTAAGTGCAATGCATGTTCCTGTTAGTGACATATCATGCTATAGTGAATTCCTGTACTAACATAGTAACATGGGTTTTATCAGGAAAAAAATAGTGACTCTCTGTACAAGTTTTGCAAGCAACAGCTGAAAATCTGAATCTTTCTGCTAAATCATCAGCAGTAAAAGAGTTAATGATGCTGATAGGAAATTGATATAATTAGGATTCAGATTCAACAACCCTCAGCAATGAATGGGAACAGATCACTCCTTTTAGTTACTGTTTCTGGCTATGTCTGCAGGATTGATAAAACAATTCTACCTAATTCACATTTGGAAGGATTTCCTCATGCAGGTAGCAATTTGACCATTCCTCTTAATTTCAGATTAATACTGACATTTTTCAGAAGTTGTTGAAGCCACCAGAGAGAGAGGTGCATGGCATTGTGGGCACAAAGTCTCAACTGGGCCTGTAGTCCAATACTGGAAAAACTGGATTGATGTCCTATGGCCATCCAATCTTCAGCCACTTAATTTGGTGACGGGGGTGTAGTATGGTTGGTACTGAAAGAGGACCAGTGTGGCAAGTTATCAAGAATTCAAGAAGTGTAAGTACCTTGCCATACACCCAGGCATCCAAAGTTTAATAAGTAAAGTAAAACTGTCACTATAATATTTGTTTGTATGTGTATCTTCCTTGACAAAGAGTCAGTGCTTATCTGAGCACATCAACAATTTTAAATAAAAGTTGGGATCTTATCAGGTTGGTTTCCATCCTACAGTTGTGGGGAGGGTTGAATGACTTTTGCCCCTCAAATCAGTGTTATAGAGACCCCTGGCACTTGGCTCACCATGCTCACCTCTTGACTTTGTGCCAATCAGAAGAGATGGGCAGTTTGGGAGGTATTTCCTGGCCTGTAATTTCTAGTAATCAGCTCAGAAACTCTAGTGAAAGGGGCATTTCTCCATCTTCATTTCCCAACACTAACTGCTATGTCATTGTGACTCCACAGTTGTTTGCCAGCAGCTCCTTGTACCAAGGACATTTCTAGAACTGTATGAAGGGGGAACTGCTTGGAATTCAAACCACAACCTGTGTCATTTGGAATGCCTGTCAAAAACAATGTTCAAAATGCCCGGTTGAAGAATTGTTCAAAGTGCTTCCTTCAGCCGTTCCATCTAAAATTCCCTGCTGATGCTACACTGCAGTGATTCATGAGAATAGGCAAAACACCACCATGGTTTGCAATTGCATTAAACTGTTGGCTAAGAAGCTGGAGCTAAATGATTCTCAATCCTTTGCTTTAGCTGTTTTGTTTTGGTTTTTTTAAAGGTTCAGAGCTGGAAGTGATGCTTTAGCCCTCCAAAAAGCTGGGAGTTATGGTAACGATTACACAGCAAGTTTTAAAGATTAACATTCCCAGGAGGCAAAGGAATTTCAGGACAAAAAATGTACTGTCTCCCAGTTACTGATATGTAAATTCTTTTAAGAAAAGTCCCAAATAAACCCTCTACTTTTTAAACAGCTGCCAACAGGGAGGAGAGGAAAAGTGACTGCTTGTAAACGGGTGGTGAAACATGCTATGCAAGAGAGGGAGAATGTGGCTAGGGCAGAGCAGTCAGGAGAGAGGCTCATAGTTTTAATGTGAGACTCCTAAAATAATGGGTAGGTATTTGTGGAGAATGTAACCACAGATGCAGGAATCTATAGCACGCCCAGGTTTTAGTCAGGGCTCGCTGCTGGTCCCCCATGTTGGAGGTCCTAGCTACCTGCACCCTACACCAGTGTGCATAGGGTCCTGACCCTCCATACCCAGGGGTCAAAGAGAAAGGGGCCTGTTTTCAGTACCCCCACTATTCAAAGTGTTCCCACATCACTGACTGTAACTGGAATATGTCATTTCCATCCAATTAGTCATTTAGTCCTAGAGTCAATCCCAGCTCTAATGGTGCTACTGAGCTGTGATGAAATATGCTGTTTTCATAAATACAGAGGCTGTGATTATCACTGGGTTATTTGCTGACATTTGAAAATACCCTTGGGTCCCCAATTGCTCTAGTTTGCCATTACCCTAGCTGTTTAAAGCCAGCCTATAATTTTCTATTGCTGTTATAGGCTCCTAATTTTATAATGAAGTGCCATTAACTGTTACATTTGTGGCTGACAAAATGTGTTCCACATCAAGATGTGGGTGGAAAGACTGAATACTATTTTCTGGCATGAAAGCCTAGCATGGTCTGAGCAATAGTCTTTCCTCTGTTAAAGGCCACTTTTTAGCCAATCACCCGGTAAGAGTGCCCCAGAGGTTCACAGAAAGAAGGTATAAACATGCTATAAAGATAGAATTCCACCAAGGAGCTCTGGTAGCAGCACAAATGCAGACAGCAGAGTGAGAGGCAGCATTTGCCATCAGGACAGTAGCTGTGAAAGTTGGGTCTGGAATCTGAACTTCTTCAAAATTCAGGGCATGTGGATCAGGTGTCTGCTTAATTTGATAGGAAAAACTTAAATCATGATGTTTGGACCCAAACCTATACTGCCCTAGCATTTGTGGATGGTTCTCACTAAGTATTCAGCTTCTGGCCTTTTCATGCAGGAAGATCCTGGAAGGAGCTGTATAATACCTGGGAAGTTGTGAGTACTTTCCACTCTCATTGACAAAATTAAGGGAATGCAGGGCAATCAGCACTGTTGGGAATCCAACCCCAAAGCTCCAACCCTTTTCACCAGATGGCTGGTTACTTGTTAATAGTTCCCCTGGCGAGCTCCTGCTATAGCTACAGAGAACATGCACTTTCCAAACGTTGTGGGAACATCTTACAGATATCTGGATATGCGGTATGGCGGTCTTAGGGCTGAAATCATTCCAACTTACAAGCAGCAGGACAGTGTCGGGCAGGTATCTATCTTTCCAATGGTCAAGAAAGACAAAATCCAATGTGTCCACTTCATGCTTTTTCTTCAGCTGTGGGATAATTGTCTCCGAAGGACCTTCTAGAATTTTCACCTAAAAAGCAAATTCATCTCATGTTGATCTGTGCAGCTTGTTGTAAGCACATTGCTCCATACCCTTTAAATTGCAGTCAGACTTGTGCAATCATGCTAATAGCCAGAGTGGATAACTTTGGCTTCTGCTTGGCTTTGCATCACATGGGCTTTTTTGATAAATTGACTCAATTATTTTTTTCTCTGTGCAATTATAAGAAGTCTATGACCTTGGCTCTGCTGGGTAAAGTGACACTCTGCTGGTGACAAGGAAAACCCCTGCTGCAAACAGTATGTCACTTGGATTGGAATTGCAGTCACATCTCAATCAAACCTTTGCTCAAGCAAACAATGTACAGAGGAGAGGTTAAAACGACTGGGGTTATTTAGTTTGGAGCAGACCTTGGGGGGAGGGGGGGAGAGGAGAACATGTAAAACAACAAGCCTGTTCTCTTTCTGCACAGTCAGGCCATATCTGCATTAAGGATGCTTTGCAACAGATTTATACTAGCATACTATACCAGGAAAGTGTTCCTACTGTGGATGCATCTTATACTGGTTTAACCTCTGTGTTCTGGACTTCCATAATCCAGCAGCATTTGTGATCAGGCATCCCCATGAATGCTCCTAGACTGGAGCATCCACTGAGAAACGCCAGGTCTTGCACTCAGCAACTCCTCCCCTGCCCTCCCAAAGCACCACAAATAGCTCATTTGCAGCCTTCAAGCTTAGGGAGGGAGAGGAGCAGGGACAAGAGATGCTCAGGGGAAGAGGCAGAAGGGCAGTGAAGTGCACCTAGCAGCACGGCCTGGAACTACATTTTGGCTGCTGGGGGTCTTAGTATGCTCCTGGGGCTCTGCAGCCACCCTCCCTCCCTGAGCACTCCTCCCCAGTCCCTGCTCAGTCAACATCAGCCCCTCTAGTGCTGCTGGAGTGGAGTGAAATAAGCAGTCACAGTAAACACGCAGTCATACCAGTAGAACTGCCAGCAAGCCAGCTCCATCAGTCCTAAACACACCTCACCACATAGCTGCTGGCCAGTGCCATGTGGGCAAAATCTTCAGCTTAGACCTGGCCAAAGCAGAAGGTGCAAGCACGGGAGCGGCAGACACATCCTGATGACAGGCTCATCAGCACACACTGTTCAGCTGAGTGGAACTGCGGCACAGGTATTGGTAAATGGGCTCTATATGGTTTGAGCAAAAGGTGAGGGAGTGTGTTTGTTCTGGCAACTGAGCCATTCTTCGCAGCCTTTGCCTTACACTTGCCTATCTAACCACTTGTCAGCAAAGATCCTCTACATGCTTCTCTGACGTGTCAGTAGATATATGACTGTAAGCTAAAAAACCCATCCATTCCCAGTGCAATAAATAGCCATCTGCATCCATCAATAATCACTTACTAGAAAAGAGGCCAAACCTCAACAACTAGACCTGTACACAGTAATCAAGAGGTGGGCTAACCATGAAATTTTGCCAGTTAGCTACATCAGTTGTCATCATACTTCACCACATCACTGATGGTCATACTCACGCATGCAAAACCTGCTTTCTACCTGGCTGTAGTAGAAAGGAGCAGCAGATGCATCCTGATGACTGGCTATCAGCACAAGCTCTGTTTGACTGATATTTGGTAAGTGGGTACCATATGGTTTGAGCAAAAGATACGAAAGGTGAAGGATTTACATAGTAGCAATTCCTAATAATTCCCAACACTGAAAAAACTTAAAAAACAGTGTATGATGCTATAGCACCCTAAAGACTAACAAAAAATTTAGATAGCATCATGAGATTTCATGGGCACAACCCGCTTCTTCAGGTGATGGAGCAAGGGATACAAATACATAGCAGAAAAAGAGTGGATGGGGAGGAAAGAGAAGTGAAAAAAATCTTGTCAATTAGAGTGTCCGTGAATGAGGCTAATAGAATGGGCTGTAAGTGCCTGATACTTAGCTTTTGATGTCAAGAGGGTACTGAAAGTAGTGACCCATCCAGTTCATGTCTTTGTTCAAATTTTGATGAAAAGTGTTGTCTTTGCAAATGAAGGCAAGTTCCGCAGCCTTCTCTCTCCAGCTGGTTTTTGAAATTGCTTTGTAATATATAGTCACTTTTAGATCCATCAATGAGTGCCTGGGCAAGTTCCCAACATTGTTAGTGATCAGTAAAGATGGGAGAAAGCCAAGTCACCTTAAACAGATAGTGTGTGAAAAAGATCTGAGGAGCCTGCCCTGGTCCTTAATGAACATTTCCCAACTTTACCCTTCTACAGCACAGATGAGCCTGACTGGCTTGCTAAGTTCACAGCTAAAATGGCTTGGAATATTTCAATTGCTAAGTTAGCCTAAGTCTAAGAGGTGAAATACCAGTATTTCTTCTGATATAACTTCTAGCTAATCCCTTTATTTACCAGCCCCAGAAGAACAAGATATACCTTATCTTGCACTCCAGCAAACTCAATCATCTGTTTAGCAATAGCAACAAAGTCAGGGTTGAACTCGATGGTCAGTAAGCGAGCACCTGGCTTTAACAGCCCAGCAATCCTCACGGCTGAGTAGCCACAGTATGTTCCCAGCTCCAGCAAGACTGATGGCTTTGTCTCCTCCACTATCTTATCTAGAATCAAACCTGAATCAGAGAGAAATGGGTTAACATTGGATTAAATCAAACTGTGCCAAATAAATAAGGGTGGAAAGTTTGTGGATGGAAGATTGCAAGTTCAAAATGTGGTGATTGGTGATAAATTACATAGGACTTCTTTTGCAGACTGGCTCTCACTTAAATTGAGATTAATTTTGAAATGTCAGGGGATTGGAAAGAAAACCCCTACAAATATCTTTTATGAAACTGCTGCTTATTGTCTCAATGGGGCCCGTTGAAACTGAAAACAGTCTTGTGAATGTTTCCACAATTAATCCTTCCTTCCCTCCGCCTTTTCTTCCTCTACGGCAACTTCAGGTTAGATTATCATACTGTGAAACTTGGTTAGATAATACTGTGAAACTTGGTTAGATGATCATACTGTGAAAATTGATCATCTAACCAAGAATTCAAATTGAAAATATTTTAAAAAAATATTTTGGGTGTTTAAAAATTTAAAATGCCCTCAAATTTTCAACTAAAGATGGGGTTGCATTAAGTAAAATTTAACATAGTTTTGAATGAAAAATGCAACACTTTGCAAAAAAATTTAGTTGTTGCAAAATCTGCCCATGTTCATCAAATATAGAGCTTTTAAACTTTGATAGAGTTAATTTTGTTAATAATATTATGTTCAGTGGTCTTAATGTATGACTTTTTAGTTAAGAAATAGTGATTACAAATAGTGATTACAATAGTGTCTAGCCAGCTGACAAAGGCTCCATCTTTTTCTACTATAAAGTCAATGAACCATTGACCAATTGTTACAATAAATAAAACTGGAAACTTCTCCAATCCTTGCAAAGAAATGGACTCAGAGACAGAAGAGATGTCTCTCACTAACATTTTAAAGCCCTATGTAGTGCAAATACATTGAAACTGAATGAGCATCTGAAGTTATTTAGCCTTCGGCATCATACTTCATGAGCCACTTGAACTGTTCAGTTGTCCATTATTATCATCCACCCTTTCCTGTGCTATTTATGAATCACTTGTTTCATTTTTGTCAAGTCTTCAAATGTTAGTAATTAAAAATAAAGAACGTTGGGATTTGTCCATCTTACTGGAGCAGTGTCCCTTGGCACCCACTGTATTATCCACTATTTTTCCTAGGAGTACCAGTTCAGAAATATTTTATCTTCCCATGGGGGAATTCTGCCCTTCTGTTATGAGGACTGCCATGCTAGTGCCATGCTAGTTCCCATTCTTTACACTTGCCGCATTCAAGGCCCTGTAATGTGACCACCATTTTCGTAGCCAAGGAATGGACAAGGTTGGAGCAGTTCTTAAAGCCCACCTAACTACTAGAGTGTGGAAAAATAATCTATGTGGGTTTCAAACTCCCAGCCAGTAGTCAGATACAGTCTGATCCATGTACACCTCAATTTAAAAATCACATTGCTGTTTAAGTCCACTGCCAATTGCAGCAAGTAGAATCATCCTTACAGGCATTGCTCAGAGCCGGTTGCAAAGAGAGAATGTTTAGAATGGTCTGATTCTAGTTAGTTTCTCATGTCAGCTCGGCTACGTCTAGACTGGCCCCTATTACGAAATAGCCATGCTAATTTCCAACTTTGGAACAGGGAAATCCGCGGGGGATTTAAATATCCCCTGCGGGATTTAAATAAAAACATGTCCGCCGCTTTTTTTCCGGCTTGGGGAAAAGCTGGAAAAAAGCGTCTAGACTGGCGCGATCCTCCGGAATAAAGCCCTTTTCCGGAGGATCTCTTATTCCAACTTTCACCATAGTGACGGATGGCAGAACAAGGAGCAATGGGCTCAAGTTACAGTTGGGGGAGGTCTAGGTTGGATATTAGGAAAAACTATTTCCGTAGGAGGGTGGTGAAGCACTGGAATGGGTTACCTAGGGAGGTGGTGGAATCTCCCTCCCTAGAGGTTTTTAAGTCTCGGCTTGACAAAGCCCTGGCTGGGTTGATTTAGTTGGGATTGGTCCTCCCTTGAGCAAGAGGCTGGACTTGATGACCTCCTGAGGTCTCTTCCAGCTCTATGATTCTAGTCGAGATGGGGTAGTTATAGAAACTTTAAAAAAAGATGGGGCTACTATAATGTGGTTACATAACTGGCTGGATAACTGTTCTCAGAGAGTACTTATTAATGGTTCACAGTCATGCTGGAAGGGCATAACAAGCGGGGTTCTGCAGAGGTCTGTTTTGGGACCAGTTCTGTTCAATATCTTCATCAATGATTTAGATGATGGCATAGAGAGTACGATTATTAAATTTGCCAATGATACCAAACTGGGAGGAGCTGCAAGTGCTTTGGAGGATAGGGTCAAAATTCAGAATGACCTGGACAAGCTAGAGAAATGGTCTGAGGTAAACAAGATGTAGCTTAATAAGGACAAATACAAAGTATTCAACTTAGGAAGGAACAATAAGTTTCACACACATTGATACATAAGTGATTGTCTAGGAAAGAGCACTGCTGAAATGGATTTAAGGGTTACAGTGGACCACAAGTTAAACATGAGTCAACAGTGTGACACTTTTGCCAAAAAATAAAAATGTGGAGAAACTGGAGAAGGTCCAGAGAAGAGCAACACAAATGATTAAATATCTAAAACACTTGACCTATGAGAGAAGGCTGAAAGAATTGGGCTTGTTTAGTTAGGAAAAGAGAAGACTGAGGTGGGACATGATAGTAGTTTTTAAGTATCTAAAAGGGTGTTATAAGGAAGAGGGAGAAAAATTGTTCTCTTTGGCCTCTGATGATAGGACAAGAAGCAACGGGCTGAAATTGCAGCAAGGGAGGTTTAGGTTGGACATTAGGAAAAACTTCCTAACGGTCAGGGTGGTGAAATACTGGAATAAATTGCCTAGGGAGGTTGTAGAATCTCCATCAGTGGAAATATTTAAGAGCAGGTTGAATAGGCATCTATCAAGGATGATCTAGATGGTGCCCTGAGGGCAGGGGACTGGACTCGACCTTGAGGTACCTTCCAGTTCTAGGATTCTGATTCTATATAGTATATTTTTCCAATTTATGGTAGATTAGGGATGGCTTGTTGATGTAAATTGGTGTAGTACTATGTACTTTTTTTGAGATTTCTGGTCAATACTTGTGTGAGAAGCCTCTGAAGAAAACCAAGGCATTTCAGACATCAAGGCTGGTGATTCAGTAAGTGATTCTGGTCCTTTTCAGCAAGTACTAAATCACAGTCCTACCAACATACCTTGAAGCTGTTGTTTCAAATGAGTTGTAAGGCAAGGTTTAGACCACCTGATGTCACTCAAAGATCCCAAAGTGTTATCCCACCCAATGTCTTAGCCTAATCCCCTAGATTGGGGAGTTGGTAACTGTGTATTTGTGTGCTATTCAAAGCCACAGAAGAGACTGCACTTTACTGAGTACTGATGCCACTCCTGTCAGGTACTTTGGCACCTTTAAGATGAAAAATATTCAAAAAATACAAGACAGTATCATTATATAATTCAGTGACTCGTGGGATAAATCTTAAGATCTTCACTCCGTTTTCACTCAAGCAAATTTCTGCTGAAAATGAAGGGCATTTTGTCCAATCAAAAACCTTAAAATATGACCAAATATTACCAAGGATAGAGCTTTAATAATGTACAGATACTAAGCACCCTAAACTAACTATATCACTGGAACTGTTTTAATAAACTAGGCCTAAAATTTAGGGGCTCCTTTGACTACTGTATAAAAGTACAAGTTTATTAGCTTGGTTATATGTTTAACCTCCAAATTCTCTGCACTGCTTCCAAAACCAAAAAGGGGTATGTTCTAAAAGCTCTCAGGTCTAATTTACAGGAAGGGTATGTTAGAAGTGTATATTTGTATTAGTAGACAATTGAACTTTTTTAGATGCAAAGCATGGAGGCTTTGCATAATCTGTCTTCCCTCAAAAATACCTTGCCTATAACTACTGTTTAATTAGCAAAATTCCTTGTATTTTAAATACTCATGATTTGCAGGGACCTCCCAATGCTTTGTACACACCAGCAAATTAAGGCTCTTGGATACCTTCTCCTGGAAATTGGTTATGATCCATTGCAACTAAGGTACAGAAAGACAGTGACATTTCCAAGGTTACACAGTTAGAAACTGGCAGGAATACAAGACAAGATTTAATTTCTCAGCTCCCCAGGTGCCTATCCTCTCTTCCTCACTCTCTTATGAAAACATCAAACAGCACATAAAAATGACATTTGGCCCAAAACTCTACATTGCACCCTGTTGCATTCTTCCAAAGAGATTTACTCCAACTTGCAGGATTGTTAGCATAACCCTTGTTGCAGTTTGCAAGGTTGTGGTATTTTTACAATGATAGCAGAATAACATGTCTTGTACCATGCCAATTGCATCCTCAAAAATAGCCTTCAAAAGCTAATCTCTATGTGACTACCTTTTTCATCCCCAACATTCATAGCCCACTCCTTCTGGGAGCAGTACGTATCTATGGTGTCCACCACACTCTGGGGATCCCCTCTGACCGCATTCTGCAGCACAAAGTTTAAAATCCTTTTTTCTTTGTTCTCAGCCATGGTAAAGTTGTTTATTCTCTGTAGCACTATTTCATTCCACAGAATGGAGGCTGCAAGCAGCAGTAAAATGAAGAGCAGGCTAGTAACAATGGACAAAAGGATGGAAGAGCTCTCCAGCATCTGGAATGAAAGAGAGAAAACAGGATTTTAGTTAAAGTGGCACAAAAGTAAACCATCTTTTGCATAAGTGTTAAGGTAGGTCTCTCTCTTGAGTGGTAACAGCTAATTTAGTCCCCATCATTTTATAGATATAATTGGGATTATGTTTTCCAATATGTAGTACTTTGCGTTTATCAATGTTAAAATTAATTTGTCATTCTGTTGCCTAGTTACCTAGTTTTGTGGGATCCCTTGAAGATCTTCACAGTCTGCTTTGGACTTACCTATCTTGAACTGTTTAGCATCATCTGCAAATTTTGCCACTTCACATTTGCCTACTCCTTTTTCCAGATCATTTATGAATGTGTTGAATAGTAATTGTCTCAGCACAGACCCCTGCAAGACATCACTAGTTAACTCTCACCATTCTGAAAACTGACCATTTATTCATACCCTTTGTTTCCCATCTTTTAACCAGTAATCAGTCCATAAGAGGACCTTCCTTCTTATCCCATGATAGCTTACTTTGCTTAAGAGCCTTTGTCAAAGGCTTTTTTACCCCTTATATACATGCTTGTTGCCCCCCCGCCTTCAAAGAATTCTACTAGATTAGTGAGGCATGATTTCCTTTTACAGAAACCATGTTGAGTTTCCTTAACAAATTATGTTAATCTATGTGTCTGACAATTCTGCTCTTAACTATAGTTTCAACCAATTTGCCTAGTAATGAAGTTAGACTTACTGACCTGTAATTGCCAGAATCACCTCTACAGCCCTTTTTAAAAATTGGCATCATATTAGCTATTCTCCAGTCATTAAATGCAGGAGATTACCACAGTTAGTAGTTCAGCAATTTCACATTTGACATTTCACCATCTGGTCCTGGAGACTTGGTACTGTTAATTCCAAAACCTCTAATGACATCTCAATCTGAGACAGTTCCTCATATTTGTCATCTAAAAAGAACGGCTCAGGTTTGGGAATCTTCCTCACATCCTCAGCCATGAAGACCGATGCAAAAAATTCATTTAGTTTCTCTACAACGACCTTATTGTCTTTGAGTTTAGCATCTCAATTGTTCAGTGGCTTCACTGGTTGTTTAGCAAGCTTCTTGCTTCTGCTGTAATTAAAAAATGTTGCTATTACCTTTGGCTTTCCTGATTATATTTTTACACTTAATTTGACAGAATTTATGCTCCTTTCTATCTTCTTCACTAGGATTTAATTTCCCCTTTTTAAATGGTGCCTTTTTATCTCTCTCTACTTTTTAAGTTAGTTGTGAATCCCCAGTGGTACTTTTTTTGGTTCTCCTATTCTGTGGTGTATTTTTTTTAAAATTTGGAGTATACATTTAAGTTGAGCCTTAAAAAGTTCCCATGTATCTTTCAGGGATTTTACTTTTGGCACTGTACCTTTTAATTTCTGTTTAACTAACCTCCTCATTCTGTCAGGAATAGTAAACTTGATGATAGCAGAGTACATCCGGTGGCTGAGTGGTTCTCACCCACAACCACTTCTAATTTGGGGACAATTTAGAAGTTAGGTTGGCAGCACTGCTATGGAAACCCACATGAACCCACATGATCCCACAGCATACCAACATTTTTATGTCTGACCTAGACGGGGCAGCCCTAGACAAGCTGCCAGCAACTGGCACCCTAGGTGAACCATGCAATCAGCACCCCACCTCCAAACCTCTCAATGATAGTGCACCATCATTTGGCACCCCATTTAACTTGGCGCCCTAGGCGCCTAACCATTATTCTACATGACTCTAGCTTCCATTCAGGACACATCCGACAATCCATTATCTTAGACAGAGACAAGCACCTATAAAATCTTTATTAAGCATTCTTAAAACTTAAATATCCACCTAGGGAAGTGAAGAAATAGATTGACAGAGCCAGACGAGTACCCAGAAGTCATTTCAGGACAGGTCCAAAAAGGAAAATAATAGAACGCCACTGGTTATCACCAAGGCTACGTCTACACTACGAGCACAAAAACCAGCGGAGCGTCCACACCTCAAGCGTGCTTTTGCGCAAGTAAATCCACAGAAGAGAAGGCTTTTGGTGGTACCGTTATTTCTCTCCCCTCAAGGAATAAATCCTATTAACACACGAATGTGGACACTCTTGCACAAGAAACCCCTATCTGAAAAAGCTCTTCCACAAAAGGCTTCTTGTGCAAAAACCCTGCAGTGTAGATGAAGCCCTATAGTCCTCAACTCACCGTCTCCCCCCACCTCTGCCCCAGAGCATCATTGACAATCTATAACCTATCTTGGAAAATGATCCCTCAGTCTCACAGATTTGGGAGATAGGCCAATCCTTGCCCAATCTCCCAACCTGAAGCAAATACTCACCAGCAGTCAAACACCACTTCACAGAAACACTTAACCTGCAACAAACACCACTGCCAACTCTGTCCACATATCCATACAAGCGACACTATCCCAGGATCTAACCACATAAACTACATGCATATCCACTAACATGCAATATGCTGTCAAGTGCCAACAATATGCATATTGGCCAAACAGGACTGAGAAAATTACATTTTATTTATGTCAGATTTAGTTTGAAACAGGCCTCACAATGGTAACACACATAAACCTGTAACGGGAAGAATTTAACCTCCCTGGAAATTCAGTAATATATTTAAAAGTAGCCATTCTTCTACAAAAGAATTTCAAAAACCAATTATAAAGGGACTTAGCTGAGCTGGAATTCATTTGCAAATTCAATGTTATCATCTTAGGACTGATTAAGGATCTTAACTAGTGAACACATTTCAAAGGCAATTTCCCCTCTCTGGATAGTCACATTTCCACAACCTCCCTGGAAATTCAGTAATATATTTAAAAGTAGCCATTCTTCTACAAAAGAATTTCAAAAACCAATTATAAAGGGACTTAGCTGAGCTGGAATTCATTTGCAAATTCAATGTTATCATCTTAGGACTGATTAAGGATCTTAACTAGTGAACACATTTCAAAGGCAATTTCCCCTCTCTGGATAGTCACATTTCCACATCAACTGCTGTGAACGAGTCATTTCTACCCACACTGATTAGCCTCATTTACACAAGTACCCTCTTTCTTTTGTTGTCCACACACACACACACACACACACACACACACACACACACACACACACACACACACACCCCATGGCTCCGATTCCAAATCACTGACAAAGTGGGTTTTACCCACAAAAGCTAATGCCCTAATCAATCTTAGTCTTTAAGGATGCATCTATACAGCACATTTATTTCGAAATAACAGATGATATTTTGAAATAGCAATACAAGTGTCTACACAGCAATTCTGTTATTCTGAAATAAAGTCGAAATAACAGACTGCTTATTCAGACGTCTGTAAATCTCATTCCACAAGGAATAATGCTTATTCCAAAATAGCTATTTCAAAATAGCTGTAGTGTGGATGCTCCACTGCTGCTATTTTGAAATAACTCCTCCCCAGGACCATTCAAATTAATTTTTCTCCAGTGCCTCCTGGGACTCTAAATCAAGGAAGCACAATCCACATTAAGGAAACCTGCCTCAGACTAATTTTGAGGCTTCCCTGTAGTGTAGATGTGCTATTTCAAAATGAGCTATTTCAGAGTATTTCTTCTGGAATACCTTATTTTAAAATAAGTGTTCAATGGAGATGTACCCCAAGTTGCCACAAGACTCCTTGTTGATTCTGTAGATAGTTTAACATGGCTATCTCTTTGAGACTGTAGTTCCCCTTTCTGAAATTAAATGTTATAGTGTTGGGCTACTGTGATGGTTTTCCCACCACAGAGATGTTAAATTTAATTATACTATAGTCTCTATTTCCAAGTGATCCAGCTATATACACCTCGGACCATGTCCTGCAATCCACTTAAGACTAAATCAAGAATTGCCTCTTCTCTTGTGGATTCCAGAACTACTGCTCCAAGACACAGACGTGAAGTACTAAACCTGTCAGAGTCTGAACTATTCTCTCCCACTTCAAGATTAAAGTTAAGCACATGCACAGAGTTAGTCCAAGGACACAGGCAGCACAACCTCTGCTTGTGCCCACAAAGGCTTGGACCATCAATCTGGCATCTTTTACAAACACAAAATTCATTTAACTTTTTGTTTGAAAGCATGGATTCTTTTTTCCTTCTCCTGTTATAAAACACAAAATTGAATTCCATCCCTGTGCCGAGCAGAGGAATCTAAGCCAGTGAAATTCAGGGGATGCAACAATAGGGTACATTGTATTTTTCTAATAGGCTGGGTTTTGCAGACGGTTCTGTAATCACCTCATGAAGCTGTGCCTATTGCTTCCAAGGAACTTGGTTTCTTTGCTGAAGGTGCCTGTTTGTACATTATCTAGACATATGTCTCTCAGAATATAGAGCTTTAGGACTTGAACAGATGGGATGAACATCATCCTGCACAGCTCAAGCGATAAATCCCTTCAAAGTCATTCACCTGCACAGACAACTCTCTACAAAAAGGTAGGGATGTTATGGTAGGGAATGATTCATTGACTTTGAATCACCCATTGCCCAAAAGAGCTGCTATGGAATGTTTCTTTAAGTGAAGAATTAATTGAGTGTTTATGGAAGTGCAGAGCTAAGAACAGTGAGTGACTGCACAAGGCTCTGTAAAAGATCCCATAAGGCACTGCCAGGGAATCTTACTGCTATTGATGCACCCTGTAACGTCTATTACTCCAATTCTGCACCTCTGCTTGAGATGGGCTCACAATCTCATGGGAGAGCTGGAATACCCCAAGTCAGGGTGAGGCTGAATGAACGGCAGAGTCATTTTCCCTTGCAATTTATTTTGGGATTTGCATATCACTCTGTGGAACTCAGAGCTCCTTTCCCTGCCCACCACATTCCACAGTTCTGCACTGGAAGGTACACCATTTTTAACACAAGGCATTTGCCAACCTCTATTATTTAA